AAGTCTATTTCTTAAGTAGTTCCATTGGCATTAACCCAACGTTCCACTGTTTCCAGTGCCTCTTGGACTTCCTTGGCTTTCGGAACCTCTCCCTTAGCTACTTCTTGCCCGGGAAGAGCAACACACCGTAAATACTCGATATCGCCTGTTGCAGTTGCAGTATCTAAGTCGGACAAAAATTGGTCGGCTGTTTTTATTTCATTCACAGTCTTATAGATAGTTCGAGCAGTTTCATCATGGCTTCGAGCCGGGCGACATTCGTTGTTCGAAAGAAATAATCGTTTGGATGAATTCGGACTAAAATATTTTACTAAAAGCAAACAAATAGGATAACAGAGGATTATGAATAAAAACTTGGCCTATTGTGTTTTCGAGTTTGTACATTACTTATTTTGATGAATGTTGTTGACGAAGTGAGAATCTTCACTCAGTGTTTTAAACATATCATTTGTCGACGTTTCGGCAACATGCCTTTGTCATAGACAGGACGTTATAATAACTTATGAAGAGCTGAAAAATTATGTGTTAAAATAATCTATCAATATGTTAAAATTATCTATCAATCCCATGAAATATTACAGAAAATTTTACAAAAATCTATACAATCAATAAGAAATAACGTGAAATAACTACAAATTTATTACTGAAAATCTATTTAATTGAAATACAACTGGCAACATTATGAATTAAAAATTACAAATTTTTAAAAGAACCGTTAAAATATTACAATTTTACGTTTAATTAATACCGACTGCCACAATTGACGGTCCACATAATCTTTACATCTTTTGCGAACTGTAAGAGTGTTTTACCAGATGGTGAACGACTAGAAGACTTTTCATTGGGTACCAATTCCAATAAAATAACCTTGATACTCTTTCGGTATTTGATCCTTCTTGCAAAGCTTTTGGAGGTTTAGGATGGTTTTTTGCTTTCGCCGCCAGGCTGTTTATTAAACAGTGTTTAATCATTGGCATCGAAAGTTTTGGCAGCTCCTTACGATTCCGCTTGCAATTACCTCTTATTGTAGGCGTTTCAGTGACGTTGATTGTTACACAGTCGTCCTCTTTTGCTTATCTCTACTATAATTCAGAGAATTATTTATGTACGACCGCCCACGTGCAAATTATACGAGAATTAGGAATTTGCATAGTTACCATGGTAACGAGGGTTGTTACACGCAAGTGCACGTGCAATGATTGTTTTAACTTCATTTTTATCGGTTTTGTGGTAATTACGTTGTGTTCAGTGCGAGCTACATTTTAATGGGCTGTTTACTCGGTTGTGAAGGATATTTTTTGATGCTATAAAAACTGACTACCAAAGAATACTATTACCTTCCTCCCTGTGATCACGGGCTTTCTAGTAATAATATAATATGATATATAATGATGGTAATTTGAAATTAAATGATGTTAATTATAATATAATGATGGTCCCTGTGATAGCTATTGTATGGTCGAGTTATCACGGAGACCTTAACATAGCGGTGAGGGTCAAGTTAGAAATAAAATCTTATCGACTGATTGTGTCCCCACTTTCTCGATCGTCAGTTCGTCATGTTGGGAGTACTAGACTCGAGAACGAGTTAACTCCCAGTAAGAAAAGCAGTCATTAAGCAGTAAAAATGTTAAAATATGTGTACACGATCAGTTTCTAATATCACATATCATCTTCATCAAATGGGTTTTCGTGCATGAAATAGTCCATGCTTGAAGCATCAGTGATTTCTAGCTTTATGGAAACCTTTTTTTATCAAACTACCCCGGTCCTGCATTTCAGTGTTAACTTTTACAAGCCATTCGGCGTGAAGCAGTTTTATCTTAGACAACTTTAGGTTAACCTTAACATCACGTGGAGCTTTCCTAGCACTGTTTCATTACCGCCCCTGAGTAATATGAGCTATGACAACGTCGGAAAATGTCCTTGGCAACACGATTTACCGTAATATCTAGAGGCTGGAACAAGTTTGTCATGTTGGCGGGGACTAGTTCATGAACTATGTTGTTGAGTGCCATAATTTCGTTGACTTTTTTCCGCCAAGTGAAAACATTATGTACTAGTAGAGTTTTCTGTGCCTCCGGCAGACCAAGGAGAACCTTTCCGTCGTTAACTTACGGCACAATAAAGTTTTCAAAGTTGTCATATTCTGGACAAAAGTTCGAAATGGAAAAATTTGAAAGTTCAAATAAAGTCCGTTCAATTAATGTCCGTCCAAGTTAAAGTCCGTACAGACATTAAAATGAACGCTAGGGCCTCCAGCGTTCAAGTAATGTCCGTCCAAATATGGTCCGATAAGGTATTCTACCGTTTATTCCATTTATCTGGATCTCTTTTTATCTGGTATCTTATCTATGTGACGGTGAATGTTTTATTATTCAAGTAAATTATTTTACGTTTTACGTCACGGCAAAAAACATTTTTGATAAAAATTATATTTTTGAAATTTTTAAAAATTTACTTATTATTTAACTATTTAATTAATTAGTTACCTAATCCAAAGGTTGTCACATAAAAAGTTGTTATATTTTATGTTTTAAACACATTGGTTCACCTTCTATGGCATTTAGAAGAAGTTGGTAAAAAAGTGGTAATTGTGGATTTTGCTGAAGTCAGAAATTTTGGGAACTCTCTGGAATTATTCCTAAGACCTGTCCCGACCATTTCCCGTTAAACTGTTAAATTCGCTTTGTTGCGAATTTTGTCTGACAAAGGCTTAAATTAGGACGTATTCGGCTGTACTAACTTGAAGTTAAAGCTAAATTTTCGGTTAAATCTTCGAAATTGTCTGAAGTACTCGTAGGTTCTGGTGTGAATGTCAAATTCTCATAGAGACTTTCGAGTGTAGGAGCATCTTATCTGATATCTCCTTTGTAGGAAGTTTGGTCGTGGAAATACATTGCGATGTCAGATAGCTCGGTTCTTCGTGCATTGTACCTCTGTTAGAACGTTTGAAGCATGACCTTAGCTATCGGGTTGTCTTTAATTTCAGTCTGTCGCACGATGGTGAACTTTGCAACCAGCTCAGCGGTTCTCAAATCACTTTGTGCTCTACCAATCGCATTTACGCCGGCCTTAATGATATCAAGGACATCGCAAATATCAGCTATTGCTGCTATTGCAGCACGCTCATGACTTTAAAAAAGTAACGGAACTATCCTTTAGGTTGGGTATGTTGTTAATATCGAGTTGAGCTTTCATAATCTGGACGAATACTTTCAGAAAAGTATCCAAAATAAATAATAGTGATGACCATCGAGTTACTTCATCGAGAACAAGAGCTTTAGGTTTCCCTAGATCTGCTTTTAGGTACTCCTGAAGAATGTGGAGATTTTTTGAATTTCTTCACTGTCTTTCTAACTTCGCGCCTTAAAATCGTCTTCGGTGACTCTGAACCAGTTGTTCTTTCTGGCAATGTCAAGCTTGTCCTCCGTTATCAGAATATTGATAGCTCCTGGCAGGCCTGTCTTTCCAGTTCTCTCTCGTTCTGTATAATGATAGTGTAAGCAGCTTTATTATTGGTACAATCCACAATAGTATATATATTTTGTATGATATATAATAAAAAACTGTTAATGATAATTATTAATTAACTGTTAATGATAATAATAAAATAATAATAGCCATGATAACTGCATTAAAATGATTGCTGCAAGCTTGATACCTTTAGGCCATTTGATGTTTAAAATGTACCTCAGGTGTCTACGCTGATTGCTGAAGTGTGTCTATTTTCTCCATGGTTGCTTTCTTAGGACTCCAACTCACCAACTGTTTGAGTTATAAATCAATACAACTTGAGCATCATATAACCTCAGCTTCTCTCAAGGGAAATTTTCTTACCGGACAACCATACTTTTTCAAACTTCTTAAAAAGCAATCTCAGTTAGGATTCTCCTTCTTTGAATGTCCTTCTCAGTACACAATAAGGAACCTGGTGTCTGGTGACTTATTACTTCGCCATGGTTCGTTATTAATATTAGCTAATAGCTGACCGTTCGTGTATTAATCAGATTGTTTCGCCAGTTAGAAGGTACTGAATTCAGTTTTACTTTCATTTACTTGGAGGTTCCAGTCTTTGAGAACCTCCTTCACTGCAGGAAGGAAAGTTCTCAGTTTCTCGATGTCCTCGTCAGCAAAGTCACTATCGTCTGAATATTCCCACTCAGTTGTGTAAAGTGTAAAATTGTGTAAAATTGTGTAAATTGTAAATTGTACCTTGGGCAAATTCCTTGGGTTTAAACTCAGGCACACCCACACTATTAAAACATACGTATTCTTAATAGCCAATAGGGTAAGGATAACCATGAGCATTTATATGTAACATAACATTTCAGTTTTTATAATCAATCCAGCAAGCGTTTAGGTTATGTTGGTTTAGAGAATCTTTAACCTGTCCTAGCAAGGCCGCCCGTTTGGAAGTAATGTTGGGCTGTAAAGTGAAGAGATTTAGAGTAAGTTTATCATTTATTTTAATTTGTAAGTCGTTTGATGATTGCATAATGAATAACAATCAAACAAATGGTTCAATAATCCTCTTTTGGTTGAAAAAGTGGGAGAACCGGATGTTCAGATGTTGTGTCATCTTTATTTATCAGAGTACACCGTCTACTAAAGCTATAGAGTTTACTTAAACTAAGTAATCTGCAGATCACTGAAACTACCTTATATGACCTTGCAGCTTTCAAGTTGTTAACAGTTGGGTTTATTTTCTAGGTCAAAAGTTATCCTAACCGCGAAAATAACAGACAAGGAATTATAAACTATAACTTATAATATCTCTCATTCAATCTCACGTGCGAACTGTCTTACTGGTATTACAAACATGTACCATCTCAATCATTGTCCAGTTTTATTTATCTTAAAACCCTCACTATAAAATCATTAACACACTGTAAACTGCAAGAATGGATGACGATGCTGTAGGTAGGCGGTGCTGTAGGTAGGCGGTGGGCTATTTCGTGGGGGTGCTATCGTTTCAGTCATCAGCGTTTGGTGGAGAAATAATAGCTGCAGCTGCGTAGGGCGGCGCTTGATCACTTGTTGCAGCATCAGATGGATATTGCACTGTCCCCGGTACTGTCTCGTTAGAAGGAGGAGGAGGAGGGTAAGCTGTATAACCAGATGGTTGGTAGGGAGGAGGGTATTGAGAGCCCACTACTGTAGGATTAGCAGCAGTGTAGGAGGTAGGAGGGTACTGAGAGCCCACTGCTGTAGGATTAGCAGCAGTGTAGGAGGTAGGAGGGTACTGAGAGCCTAATACTGTAGGATTAGCAGCAGTGTAGGAGGTAGGAGGGTACTGAGAGCCTAATACTGTAGGATTAGCAGCAGTGTAGGAGGTAGGAGGGTACTGTGCTGGGAGGGTACTCCCAGTATCACCTGCAGCTTCCAGTATACTGGAACTGGAAGCTGCAGGTGATACTATCACCTGTCCTGATTGTGTGGATCTGCATGATTTGCGGTAAATCCAACATGACAGGCCAATAATCATGGAGAAGAATAATGCTACAAAACCAAAGAAACTTCCCGCGCTTCCCTCGCTAGATCCTGTCGAGGAAGTACTGGAAGATCTTCGAGTATCGTAACTAATCGACCTCCTTCTGCTCCTGTGAGATAACCTAATGTTATAACAAATGTCCCTCAAGTTTAAATCGAATCACCGAGAGCTCATATCCATTTCGTGGATTAGGATTGGGTTCGTTTTCAGACCCCAAAGAGAGAAAGAGTGCAGTTTCCAGCTACATATTTATAACATTGTGACAGTGTTACATTGTGACAGTATACTCACGAATATGATGTGCTCCTTCTTCTAGATGCTTCACTCAGACTGTTATCCGTGTACAGCAACACAATAGCAACCACTGCTACCAGCACAGTTAGATATATTGTTATCTTCATTCTGATATTGGGGTCACATTAATTAAGATGTCAATCTCTACTATAATTCAGAAGATTCTTTTTGTCTGTACACTGTACGACCGCCCACGTGCAAATTAGATGAAAAATAGGAATTAATGTAACAACCAAAATGTTCCGTAGCAACGGTGTTTTAATGCACACATGCACGCGCAGATTCTTTTAACGGACCTTTACTGATAGTTGAAATTCGACATATGGCGTCATCTAGCGTCATCTAGCGTGAAATATCGCCAGATGATGATAGATGACGCTAGATGACGCTAGATGACGCTAGATGACGCCAATTAGCGACATTGTCGCTAAGTGCACGGCACCTTTCGAATGTCGCTATCTAGCGCTATCTAGCGCTATCTAGCGCTATATGACGCTATATGACGCTATATGACGCTATATGACGCTAGATGACGCTAGATGACGCTAGATGACGCTAAGCACGCAGCACTGACGCCAGGCGACAGATAGCGCTATTTTCATAAAATTTCCGCCCTTTTTTTGCGACATCTAGCGGTATCTAGCGCTATCTAACGCTATATGTCGCAACGACATCTGACGCAGCGCTATCTAGCGCTATCTAGCGCTATCTGGCGCTATCTAGCGGAGAATGACGGTTTGTGACAGTTTACGCTAGATAGCGCTATCTAGCGCTAGATATCGCGGCGACTGCTAGCGCTAGATAGCGCTATCTAGCGTAAACTGTCACAAACCGACATTCTCCGCTAGATAACGCTTATTAGCGCTATCTAGCGCTATCTAGCGCTATCTAGCGGAGAATATCGGTTTGTGACAGTTAGCGCTAGATAGCGCTATCTAGCGCTATCTAGCGGAGAATATCGGTTTGTGACAGTTAACGCTAGATAGCGCTAGATAGCGCTAGATATCGCAGCGACAGCTATAGCTATGGCTATAGTTGTTAAACGTTAAATATCTAACGTTGGTTATAAGTTTTATTTTTAACGTTGCAAAACGTTTATTATTTGACGTCAGATCAAGGTTACCTTATTAATATTAACTATAAGCAGAGTTTAAAATTCAACTACATTTTAAAGTTGTATGTAGGTTACATATAAAACGTTGTTAAACGTTAAATATCTAACGTTGGTTATAGGTTTTATATTTAACGTTGCAAAACGTTTATTATTTGACGTCAGATCAAGGTTACCTTATCAACTATAAGCAGGGTTTAAAATTCAACTACATTTTAAAGTTGTATGTAGGTTACATATAAAACGTGGGGGGTAGGAAGCTCAATCTCAATTCTGAAACATGATTTTTCCGAAATTGAGATTGAGAAAATTGAGAAAATTGAGAAAATTGAAAAAATTTAAAATCTTTTAAAATCATTTTTCCGTTTAACTCAGTTCACTGATCAGTCCATAATGTTCCGATTACTGTTAAAATTACGTATACAGGAGTACAATAATCTGTATGTATCGCTGTTACTAGGACATTATAGATGATAAAATTGACTCTGGTAGCAACCATGATAAAAAACTTAATAAAATTCAGTACTTAGACACTGTAAGACCAGATGGATCTGGTAGATGCAATCCAAAAAGAAAATTTCAACTTTTTGTTTTGATTTCAATTCCTGATTCGATTATATACGTTATTGTTAGGCGTGCTTACAATTTGTACCTTTCAGTTTCTCACTTCTCTCAAAATGGGGATGAAGGAGACAATTTATATATAAGTTATGGTAAAAGTGTTTTGAAAATATGGTACCCTATATTTTCAAAACAGACACAAATTAGAACGGACAAAAACGGAGATAAACGGACAAAAACTGTCACGGAAATAACATTTAAATGCTTTCTCCTCCTCCTTCTTACCCTCCTTAGTCCTCCTACTCATCCTCCCCCTCATCCTCCTCTTTCTCAGTCCCCCTCCTCCTCCTCCTTAGTCCTCCTTCTCCTCCCCTCCTTATCCTCCTCAGTCTTCCTACTCATACTCCACTTTCTCAGTCCGCCTCCTCCTCCTTCTCCTTGGTCCTCTTGCCCTCCATGTCCTTCTCATCCTCCTCTTCCTCCTTCTCTTCCTCCTCCTCCTCCTTCTCTTGATTCCTCTTGGGTCCTTCTCACCCTACTCAGTCTTCCTACTCATCATCCTCCTCTTTCTCATTCCGCCTCCTCCTCCTCCTCCTCCTCCTCCTCCTCCTCCTCCTCCTCCTCCTCCTCTTCCTCCTCCTCTTCCTCTTCCTCCTCTTCCTCCTCTTCCTCCTCCTCCTCCTCCTCCAGCCTCCTCCTCTTCCACCTCCTCTTCCTCCTCCTTCTCATCCTCCTCCTCCTCCTCTTCCTCTTCCTCCTCCTTCTCATCTTCCTCCTCATCCTCCTCCTCCTCCTCCTCCCCTTCCTCTTCCTCCTTCTCATTTTCCTCCTCATCCTCCTCCTCCTCCTCCTCCTCCTTCTCCCCATCCTCCTCAGTCCTTCTCTTCACAGTCCTCTTCAACCTCCTCCTCTTCAGTCCTACGCACCCTCCTCCCCTCAGTCCTCCTCAGTCCTCCTCAGTCATCACATGTACAATACCTTCTCAGTCCTCCTTCTCCCCATCCTCATCAAAACGGACTAAAACGGACAAAAACTGTTACGATAATAACATTTAGATCCTCCATCCCTCCTCCTCCTCCTCCTCCTCCTCCTCCTTCTCCTCCTCCTCCTCATCCTCCTCCTCCTCCTCCTCCTCATTTCTCCTCCTCCTTATCGTCCTTCTCAGTCCTCCTACTCATCCTACTCCTCATCCTCCTCTTTATCAGCCCTCCTCCTCCTCAGTCCTCCTCAACCTCTTCCCCCTCCTCCTCAGTCCTCCTCCTCCTCCTCCACCTCCTCCTCCTCCACCTCCTCCTCCTCCTTCTCCTACTCCTCCTCCTCCTCCTCCTCCTCCTCCTCAGTTCTTCTCCTCCTTATCATCCTTCTCAGTCCTCCTACTCATCCTCCTCCTCATCCTCATCTTAACCAGTCCTCCTCCTTACGGACATATCATTTAGATGCTTCCTCCTCCTTCTCCCCTCCTCCCCCTCCTCCTTCTCCTCCTTCCCCTCCTCCTCCTCCTCTTTAGTCCTCCTCCTCAGTTCTCCTCAGTCCTCCTCCTCCTCAGTCCTCCTCATCCGCAGTAGGGAGGAGGATGAGGAGGACTGAGGAATGAGGATTCCTCAGTCCTCCTCATCCTCCTCCCCCTCATCCTCCACAGTCCTCCTCAACCTCCTCCTCCTTATCCTTCTCAGTCCTTCTCTTCACAGTCCTCCTCAACCTCCTCCTCTTCAGTCCTCCTAATCATCCTCCTCCCCTCAGTCCTCCTCAGTCATCACATGTACGATACCTTCTCAGTCCTCCTTCTCCCCATCCTCATCAAAAACGGACAAAAACTGTTGCGATAATAACATTTAAATCCTCCTTCCCCCCCTCCTCCTCCTCCTCCTCCTCCTCCTCCTCCTCCTCAGTTCTTCTCCTCCTTATCATCCTTCTCAGTCCTCCTACTCATCCTCCTCCTCATCCTCCTCTTTATCAGTCCTCCTCAACCTCTTCCCCCTCCTCCTCAGTCCTTCTTTTCCTCAGACCTTCTCAACCTCCTCCTCTCCAGTCCTCCTACTTTTCCTCTTCCTCCTCAGTCCTCGCATGTACAGTACAGTCTCAGTCTTCCTTCTCCCCACCCTCATCCTCCTCTTCCTCCTCAAAAACGGACAGAAACGGACGTAAATCGACATAAACGGACATAAACGGACAAAAAGTGTTACGATAATAACATTCAGATCCTCCTTCTCCCCTCCATCTCCTCCTCCTCAGTCCTCCTCCTCAGTTTTCCTCCTCCTTAACATCCTTCTCAGGCCTCCTACTCATCCTCCTCCTCATCCTCCTCTTTATCAGTCCTCCTTCTCCTCAGTCCTCCTCTACCTCTTCCCCCTCCTCCTCAGTCCTCTTTTTCCTCAGACCTTCTCAACCTCCTCCTCTCCAGTCCTCCTACGCATCCTCCTCCTCCTCAGTCCTTCTCAGTCCTTGCACAAGACTGTACAGTACATTCTCAGTCCTCCTTAACCCCACCTTCATCCTCCTCCTCCTCAAAAACAGACAGAAACAGACGTAAATGATCATAAACGGACAAAAACTGTTACGGAAATAACATGTAGATGCTTCCTCCTCCTTTCCCCTCCTCCCCTTCCTCTTCTCAGTCCTCCTCCTCCTAAGTCCTCCTCCTCAGTCCCCCTCCTCAGTCCTCTTCCTCCTCAGTCATCGTTCTCAGTCCCCTTCCTCCCCATCCTCATCCTCTTCCTCCTCAGTCCTCCTTCTCCTCAGTCATTCTCCTTCTCCTCCTCCTTTTCCTCCTCAGTCCTCTTCCTTTTCAGTCCTAGTGATCCTCCTCAGTGTTCGTCCTCCTCAGTTCCATTCCGTCCTTCTTTTCCTCTTTATCCTCCTCCTCCACTTATTCCTCAGTCCTCCTCTTCCTCAGTCCTCCTCCTCTTCAGTCATCCTCTTCCTCCTCAGTCCTTGTATGTACGACACATTCTCAGTTCTACTCTTCTTCAGTTTTCTCCCTTCTCTTCCCCCTTCTCCTCCTCAGTCCTCAATCCTCATTCTCCTCCTCAGTCTTTCTCAGTCTTTCTCAGTCCTCCTCCTCCTCCTCTTCGGTCCTCCTACTCATCCTCCTCCTCTTCCTCTTCATCCTCCTCCTCACCAGTTCTCCTCCTCCTTTACCTCTTACTCAGTCCTCCTCTTCCTCAGTCATCCTCTTCCTCCTCAGTAATTGTATGTACGGCACATTCTCGGTTCTACTCTTCTTCAGTTCTTCCCCTTCTCTTCCTCCTTCTCCTCCTCAGGCCTCAATCCTCATCCTCCTCCTCAGTCTTTCTCAGTCCTCCTCCTCCTCCTCCCCCTCTTCGGTCCTCCTACTCATCCTCCTCCTCTTCCTATTCATCCTCCTCCTCCCCAGGCCTCCTCCTCCTCAATCTATTCCATGGTCCTCCTCTTCTTCTGTCCTCCTCCTCCTCTGTCCTTGTATGTGCGACACATTCTCAGTTCTACTCTTCTTCAGTTCTCTCCCTTCTCTTCCTCTTCCT